AGTGTCGGGGCATCCGAAAGACAAAGATAGTGTCAGAGCAGATGGAAGCGTGGGCGCTACCGATGACACCCCGGCTCTTAGAACTTCTTAAGCTGTCAGCCCCAGTGCATAAAAATTGGCATATCCCCAGTACTGTGGGATTCGATAACATGCAAAGCACGAATAAAAACGCTTGATATGTCACTCTAAATTCAGAACAACGGTACAAGCTGGAGGTAAATGATGCCATAAAAAACATCCGTGTCATGATTATCATGTTTAAATGAGTCGTTTACCATTGTCGTCTATTCACGTCAAGTGATACCAAATTTAGTATAGGTGAGGCTAGCGAAGCGCCCGTGAACACGCTATGAGCGTGGTATATTGTCGTGTTCTTACGTGACCCGTGAGTCAGGCTTATCATGTTATCACCAGTCATATATTTCGTCATCCATTGACGTCATGTAACACCAAATTTACTATGTGTGGAGCTAGCAAAACGGCCGCGAGCGTCATTAGGAGCTCAATGTACTCCACTGTATATTGTCGCTCCACTGTAGAGTGTCGCTGCAGAACAGGTACTCGGCTCTTAGTGAGGAAACCCACCTTAGCGTAGATACAATGAATGATAATCTGACGAGTATTATTACGGAGTGTGCAGTGGAAGTTGGAGGCAGTGTAGTTAGACAGAACATTGGCAAGCTTTCCCAGGAAACGAAGAACCTAATTAAGAAGCGTCAACTCATGAAAGTGTCAAGTACAACAGACAAAATAGAACTGGCAGAGCTTTCGAAGTTGAGTAACAGACGTAAGGTATGCGATTTAAGAAGGTGTATCATGTAGAGAACTGAACACGCTCTGAAAAACGGAGCAAGCGTCAAAGCAGTGAATAGGAAACTTGGGATAGGCAAAAGTCGCATGTATGCACTAAGGGACAAAGAAGGCAAAATAACTACCAATATGGATAGGATAATTAAAATAGCGGAAGAGCTTTACAGAGATCTGTACAGTAGCGGAGACAACCACGACCTTAATACTATAAGAACTTTCCGTAACCCAGATGACACCCCATCAGTAATGATAGAAGTCAGAAAAGCTTTGGAGAGAATGCAAAGAGGCAAAGCTGCTGGTGAGGATCAGGTAACATCAGATCTGCTGAAAGATGGAGGACAGATTGTGTTAGAAAAACTAGCCACCCTGTTTACGAGGTGTCTCCTGACGGGAAGAGTACCAGAGTCTTGGAAGACCGCTAACATCATCTTAATACATAAGAAAGGAGATGACAAGGACTTGAAGAATTACAGGCCGATCAGTTTGCTCTCTGTAGTATACAAGCTATTTACAAAGGTAATTGCTAACAGAGTAAAGAAAACATTAGAATTCAATCAACCAAAGGAACAAGCAGGATTTCGAACAGGCTACTCAACAATTGACCACATTCATACTATCAACCAGGTAATAGAGGAATCCTCAGAGTATAACCAACCACCATACATAGCCTTCATAGATTACGAGAACGCGTTTGATTCAGTAGAAATATCAGCCGTCATGCAGACACTGCGGAATTAAGGCGTAGATGAAGTATATATAAACATTCTGGAAGAAATCTACAGGTGATCAACTGCTACTATAGTGCTACGTAAAGAAAGCAAGAGAATACCAATCAAGAAGGGTGTAAGGCAGGGGGACACTATCTCCCCAATGCTATTTACCGCGTGCTTACAGGAGGTTTTCAGAAGCCTAGAATGGGAGCAGTTAGGGATAAGAGTTAATGGAGAATACCTTAGTTACCTGCGCTACGCCGATGACATTGCATTGCTGAGCAACTCAGGGGACGAATTGCAACTCATGATTACGGAGTTGAACAGGGAGAGCAGAAAGGTGAGATTAAAATTAATCTGCAGAAAACGAAAGTAATGTACAACAACCTCGGAAAGGAGCAGCGCTTCGAGATAGGTAATAGTGCACTTGAAGTTGTAAAAGACTATGTCTACTTAGGGCTGGTAATAACCGCAGAGTTGAACTACGAGATTGAAGTAACTAGAAGAATAAGAATAGGGTGGAGCACATTCGGCAAGCACTCTCAAATTATGACAGGTAGATTGCCACTATCCCTCAAGAGAAAGGTATATTACAGCTGTATCTTGCCAGTACTTAGCTACGGAGCAGAAACCTGAAGACTTACAAAGAGGGTTCAGCTTAAATTGAGGACGACACAGCGAGCAATGGAAAGAAAATGGTAGGTGTAACCTTAAGAGACAAGAAGAGAGCAGAGGGGATTAGGGGACAAACGGGAGTTAAGGATATCATAGTTGAAATAAAGAAGAGGAAATGGACGTGGGCCGGGCATGTGGCGCGTAGACAGGATAACCGCTGGTCATTAAGGGTAACTAACTGGATTCCCAGAGAAGGGAAGCGGGTTAGGGGGAGACAGAAGGTTAGGTGGGCAGATGAGATTAAGAAGTTTGCGGGTATAAATTGGCAGCAGCAAGCACAGAACCGGGTTAACTGGCGGAACATGGGAGAGGCCTTTGTCGTGCAGTGGACGTAGTCAGGCTGATGATGATGATGGTGATGATGATGATGATACTCCACTGTAGCGTTGACGCGCGAGCACGCTGGGCACAAGGACGCTACGTTAGCAAGACGTGGGCACCCTATAGTCTGACGCCAGGCGTGACCAGCGTTCGTCGGCGCAGCCTAACAGCAACCGGCGCAAAATGCTACATGCTGCATTTCGTGCCCATTCATCACCCAGACAACACTTTGTCTCCCTCTTTTCGAGACGGAGGGACGCCGGACGCGCCGAAATAAGCATGCGGCAAAGCAACGCAGTGTGGCGCGTGCCTGCGAGTATATGGCAGGACCGGCGTCTGGCGTGGCAAAGCCGGCTTGACGAAACAAAATGAACGCGGTTGAGCACGCGCACCACGTCGCGTCGGAATGTATTGGCGCCTTTACTGTGGCATGTAGTCATACTCTCACATATCACGCATCTCATGAGTATTTAGTTTGCACCACTCACATACCATCGTCACCCATTGGCGTCACGTAATACCAAATTTGTCATATGTGAAGATGCGAAACGCCCGTGAGCGCATCATGAGCGTGGCATGTAGTCATGTTGTTACATGACACGCATGTCGTGATTATCATGTTTGGATGTGTCATTTGCCTATGTCGTCCGTTCGCGTCGCGTAATATCGAGTTTGGTACATATGAAGCTAGTGAAACGACCGCGAGCGCATCATTAGCGTAGCATGTAGTCATGTTGTTACATGACATGCATCTCATGTTTGTCATGTTTGCACCAGTCACATACCTAAGTCATCCATTCACGTGCCGTAATACCAAATTTTGTATGTGACGCTAGCGAAACGGCCGCGAGTGCATGATGAGCGTAGAATGTTGTCATGTTGTTACATGACATGCATTTCATGATTTCACTGTTAGGGTCTGTCAGTTATGTTCGCCATGCGATCATGTCATACCTTACCAGTTTTGCAACATGCCTTGTGAACGAAACCACCGCAAGAGCTGCAGTATCATGAAATGCAAATCATGACGTTCATGACATACCTGTCATAATTTTTATGTTATGACTAGTCATATATGTTTTTACACAGTTATGTTACGCCATACCAAATTTGGTATCGATACCATTATCTCAACAGCTATGAGAGCTAAAAGTCGTAGGTGGCTAGATAGATAGATAGATAGATAGATAGATAGATAGATAGATAGATAGATAGATAGATAGATAGATAGATAGATAGATAGATAGATAGATAGATAGATAGATAGATAGATAGATAGATAGATAGATAGATAGATAGATAGATAGATAGATAGATAGATAGATAGATAGATAGATAGATAGATAGATATATAGATAGATAGATAGATAGATAGATAGATAGATACGCTCAAAGTCGCCAAAGCTCGCTACGAAATGCTTCACATTTAATGTATAAAGCCTCTCTTTATGCTGTACAGTAATGTTATGCCTTAACTCATCGCTCATCGTCGCCTTGTCCGCTCAATCTATCAGCTATGCGCAGAAGCAGCGGCGGGGTGGGACACGTGCTACCCAACAGTGGTGACAGCGGCGAGATACGTAACAGTGGCTCAAGCTGCGCACCTATGCACCAATTTCTCAGGTGCGCACACCAAGCCATATGTCTCCTCAGTTAACTCTGATATGAAGAATGGGATACCCAGTACCTGTGTTTCATTGAGCACTTAGTGACACCACCGTTTTCTGGGATTCACTATATGATTAGTCCAGGCGTATGTTGAAAGCTTCAGCTACCAAAACTGTTAACTCACGATCATGAATGTAAATCGTCACAATGAAGATTTGCCACTAGCCTTCAATGTGGATGAAGCCACGCGCGACGGGTCTATAGATAGCCGCTACGTCCCAGTATGTATTGTATAAGCTTTCGTATATGAATGCACAATGAACAATTATCTGCATTTGTGACGGTACGTCCACTTTCGTGTTATACGGATTGCTACGACAAGGCGAGCGGCTGTGTTTTCTTTTTCATATGAAACGAACACGTGTACAATCAGAAAAATAAATTGTGATTCTAGAAAAAGAGAAAATCATTCGAAAGCTCCTGCCGTGAAACAATAGCTACGCTCCAGCGTGTAGTGCATCTTTGTCACTACTTTCATTAACGGCACAGAGAGCAAGCTTGGCGGACGCTTAAGCTGCACCTTTAAACGTAGACCACGAAAGCGTGTTGTGACCATGTTTGCATCGTCTTTCCAATTGCTAGTATAATTCATTCGCTTCACTGTGGATACCTAAACCACGCCGTAAGATAAATCTATGTGCGCAGGTTCACCCGCGTGCTATTACCCACGTGTGGAGCTTACGAAGCGCTGATGGATCTTGCCAATTCAACCTTTATCCTAGACATGATGGTGATGGTGACTGCAAACGTGACGGCAAAATACTCGCGTAGACTGTCTATATAAATACCATCGCAATAATAAAGCGCCATGCTTACCTTCGTCTCGCGAAAGCTCGTCTTTCTGTCCACCAACCCATTCTGTGTATATTCTGGACACATGTAGTAGGAAAAAAAAACTAAATTAGTTCGTGCAGTTTGACAACTTGTAGCTATAGCAAACTATTTGCTCCTTCAGCTATGCCATTATTCATGTATTCGTTCAACGGTCTCTGCAAGAGGAGGTTTTCTTTAATAATCCGCGTTCATTACTAAATCTGCCACCGGGAGTGCTCACATGAGGGATAATGAAATACAGTGCCAGGATTCTGGGTGTGAGAGTACTTGAGCATCTAAAATAAACTTTTAAAGTTCATTTACTATTGCATAAGTCCCCTTGAGGCATAGGCATCTTAATATCATGTTTTTTGGACCTAACACCTCCCACATTATAAAACTAATTATGTTATGACATGTACGTAATCATTATTGTAAATTATTCGTTTGCATTATCCCTCTTTTTTCAGAGTCATAATTTTACTGTGTACAATTTTAAGCCAATACTTACTACTGTCACATATATCCTCTTTATAGCCTTCAAAACCAAGCTCTGTGATTATTATTCTTCAGTAATGTTTTACATCCTGTAAACCACTATACCTAAATATAAATGTTCAGCCAAAATAACAGAACTACCTGAACAAAATCTCTTTCTTTATTTCTAGGCTCAAGTAATGTGCCACTTCCACCCCAGATTAGCCAAATGAATTTCTTGAGAATACTAACATTACTAGGTTCCCTTCAAAGAACAATCAACTTGTTTCTGAAATTCGAAGAATGGAAAACTGACAACCCTATTTTACGTCTTATCAATTTGAAATGCAATATCATGTGAGATTGAATCATCATCGTTTGTAACTACACTTCAAAGCCTTAACAAAAAATGCTGTCTCGACAAATCTTGGGAGCTATCACACTAACTTTATAATCTACAATTTCTTATTGTTTTTATTGCTTTATTACCATTTCCGCCAATTTTTATGAGCATGCTTTCTTAGAGATCATTACCTTTAAATATTTGATGTTATTGTTTCTTGAGGAATTCATCATGGTTTTCTTTTCCAGCCATTACTTGTATGTCAGTTGGTATTCATTGTTTTGCATGCCACTGTTTGCTCAATTTTATTGTGCTTACTTTGTTCAGATGTGTTCATTACACCTCCATGAAGATGATCTTTCGTATAAATTTAGTTTTTTCCACCTATGCTAATTGTTGTGTAATTTCAGATTTACAAATCACGGCAGTTTCTTTGTTTCTTCCTTTCATTTTTCAATCTTACCTTACTTTGACTTTTTATGCTTGAATTCTTCTTAGCGTTTCTGCAAGTCTTGATGAATGTACTCTTTTTCTCAATGCACATTATCTCTTTACAATACAAGTGTTTTATTACTAGGAGGAACTAATAATATTTATGGTAACTATCGGACCTCCGAATGTAGTACATCAGGCTAAAGATACCGCCCTGTTTTCAAAGAAGCCGAATAAAATAGACTGAACTCGATAATAAAATGTAAAAAAGAAGTAGGAAGTTAGGGGCTTCTTTTTGTTACACACTGTTATTGAGGACAAACTGTCAATTATGCAAAACAAAGTATAGGGAACGTTATAAGTAGTAAGTGTAATGTCCCAATGAAGAAAGAAAGTAACGAAAAGCTACCCTTCCAATGGCGGGGCCGAACGTACGGCCTTCGAATGACGCATCTAATGTTTCATGAAATAAGTTACATCGCTGACCATCCCTCCGTTCACTTTATGGGGTATATAAGTGTATCTATACATGGGAGTGTCATCGCCATTAGTAACTATGACAATGAGCTTGGAAAACTCTTTTTATCTTTGCGTCACGTAGCGTCAGAACACAACGTCCCCTAAATGGGACGTTGTGTTCTAAAATATACAGGGCAAGGAAATGAAAATATACTGCTACAGCACTGAAAATGTACACAGGAACGGCAACTTACGAGGACACTTGAGCTTTGCCTGCAAAGATGGAATGTCATGCCGTTATAGTGCTCCCTGCACATTGTCTCCTGAATGGCTCGCCTAAATTCGGTTTCTACTGGATGCCTCAACCGTGTCGCTAGCAAACAATCTTCCATGCGCATAACTATTATGATTTAACACTATGATAGAACGCTAACTGCAAGTACAATTCAGAAGTCTTCCAGACGCCATACTTATTCTCTTTTTAAAGCAGCAAGATGCCCGCTGGCACGTCCCTAGGCGAAACGCGAATCTACGCAGCAGCTTTGTTGATGCTTTTGTTGCTGACTATAACCAAGTGTGTTTGAGTACAACAAAATGTATGAATTTTTCAAGCCCACGCTCCTTGCATATTATTGCTGTAATGGCAAGCTCGTTTTATTGAAATTCCGTCGTTGGTGTCAGCTTCCGGGTTGACATCAGTGCCGGCGCCGTTGGTTGCTAGCGAAACATTTTTGGCTCTGAACAAAAACCCGTAAACATGCAAACAAATAATAAATTTCCACGTCCAAGTTACTATAAAACATGGGCCGTCTGTGTGGCAAACAGGTGGTATACCACAGATCCACGAGAATGTTGAAAGTTTTTTTGTAAAAAAAGATGGCAGATCCTCAGTACAGCGGGAATCGATAGTATGAGAAGTACGGATAAGAAAGCTTGATATGTCACTCTAAAATCAGCACAACGTTACAAGGTGGAGGTAAATGATGCGGTAGATGACTTCCGTGTCATGATTATCATGTTTAAATGTGTTGTTTACCTTTGTCATCTATTCACGTCACGTGATACCTAATTTAGTTCATGTGAAGTTAGCGAAATGCCTGCGAACACGCTGTGAGCGTGGTATACTGTCACGTTCCTACATGGCATGCGAGTCAAGGTTATTAATGCACCAGTCATATATTTCGTCATCCATTGACGTCATGCAACACCAAATTTACCATGCAAAACGTGAGCACTCTATAGTCTGACGCCAGGCGTGACCAGCATCCGTCGGCACGTCCCGACGGCAACCGGCCCGAAACGCTACATGCGGCATTTCGTGCCGATGCATTACCCAGACAACACTGCGTCTCCCTCTCTTCGTGACGGAGAAACGCTGGATGCGCTCAAACAAGCATGCGTCAAAGCAACACAGTGTGGCGCGTTCCTGCGAGTATTTGGCAGGACTGGCACCTGGCGTAGCAACGCTGGCGTGACGCAACAGAATGAACGCCGGTCAGCACGCGCACCGCGTCACGTCGAAATGTATTGGCGCCTTGACTGTGACAAATCATGTTCTCACACTACACGCATCTCATGATTATCATGTTTGCACCAGTCACATACCATTGTCATTCATAGGCGCGACGTAATACTAAATTTGGCATATGTGAAGCAGCGAAACGGCAGCGAGTGCATCATGAGAGTGGCATGTAGTCATGTTGCTACATGATACGCATTTTATAACTTTCATGTTAGGGCCTTTCGCTTGTGTTCGTCATGCAATCATGCCGTACCATACCAGTTTTGCAACATGTCAGGCGAACGAAACCACTGCAAGAGCTGCAGGACCATGAAATGTAAATCATGACATTCATGACATACCTGTTATGATTTTCATGTTATGACTAGTCAGATATGTTTTTCATACAGTCTTCTTATGCCGAACCAAGTTTTGTATCGCTACCGTTATTGAAACGGCGAGGAGAGATAAAAGTCATTTCCGGAGAGATAGATAGATAGATAGATAGATAGATAGATAGATAGATAGATAGATAGATAGATAGATAGATAGATAGATAGATAGATAGATAGATAGATAGATAGATAGATAGATAGATAGATAGATAGATAGATAGATAGATAGATAGATAGATAGATAGATAGATAGATAGATAGATAGATAGATAGATAGATAGATAGATAGATAGATAGATAGATAGATAGATAGATAGATAGATAGATAGATAGATAGATAGATAGATAGATAGATAGATAGATACGCTCAAAGTCGCCGAAGTTCGCTAAGAAATGCTTCGCATTTGAAAGGCCGGTGGTGCGTGTCACCGTCCCTTCGATAGCGAGAGTTGTCCGGCCCTGCAAGCCGCCCACCCCCGAGCTGTGCTGAGAAATGAGGAGTATTTCCGAGCATAGAGTTTCCTAAAATTGGCTGGAGGGGACTCTGGTGCTGCAATCATTCAGTGACCATGGGAACGATGGGTAGTGCACACATGTGTCTTGTCTTCGTAATTGCGGATGGCAAATCGTACATGCGGCTTCGTTTATTGCTGTGTTTCAGTTTTTTTTTTTTGAAAGAAAGATTCAACCCTTTTGAACTTCGTACCCGATTTGGAAAGGTAAGTCTAAAAGAATAACTTGGTGAATCGCAACCGCAGAACATTTGCTAATATTTGCTTCGTGAGAAAGCAGCTCCAAGCCACACTAACACACATGGAGCCAAAAGCAGGCCAGAAGTATGAATATTAGACAAACGTGTGTACCACCCTTCATTCCTTCGCTCGCTGAAGTACAGTGCGTTGCAGCTCCCATAGACACTAGCACCAGAGTTCCCTCATGTGTACATTAGAAAACTCTATGTTTCCGAGAGTCATACATATTCAAAAACGCTCTTGAATTTATCTTGACTTGCCACAGCCTCCAATGCAGCACGAACGCGTCTCGAACGCGGTGCCTCAAGTCGTTGCCAAGACATGAAGCACAAACGCGTTCCAAACGCACTGCATTGAAGGCGGTGACAAGTCAAGTTCGAGACAGAAAATTGACAGCATAGCCACGGAGTGAGAGATGGAGTGTGGGGTGAAGCATTCATTCGTTCATTCGTTCTTGCTTCTGTCCGTCCATGCGTCCGTCTGTGTGAGCATTCATGCGTCCATCCACCTGCCCGTGCGTGCGTCTTTTCGTGCGTCCGTCCCTGCGTTCGTCCATGCATCCGCACCTGCGTCCGTTCATGCGTCCATGCATGCATCTGTCTGTGTGTCCATTCGTCCATCTATTCAACACTCCAAGTACTACCATCTCGCATCTTTTCTTCACATATTATTCCCCATATATAAGCACCGCCATCCAGCGGACATTCCAAGGACTACACAAAAGGTGGGACACACACACTTTCTTGTGGCTTGCGCTCGGGTCTACTTCCCCCCTTTAACCACCTCGAGTTCATAGTATTTCATGGTATAACTAGTTCACTGTATTCATGGCACTGCGGCCCAACACTCGCTTAACCTTTCTAAAACCAAGAGGGCTACGCCCAGCGAGTATAACGTAGCAATCTTTTTCTGTCAGACAGTGCTCAATGTATATGCCAACGTCTGCTAATGGGAAATGAGAGACAGGAGAATTCGGCTTTTACTTTCTTACGGCTTGCGCTTCATATCTACTTACTTCTCACCTTTAACCACCTCGAGCTCATTCATGGTATATACTAGTTCATTGTATTCATGGCACTGCGGCTCAACGCTCGCAAAACCTTTTTAAAACTAAGGAAGTTACACCCAGCGAGTATAACGTAGCAACCCTTTCGTGTCAGGTAGTGCTCAATGTACATGCCAATGGCTGCTAATGGGGATCTCAGCGTGCGCGTTAACTAGAAGCCAAATGCTCCTCTCTCTCATTCCCCGTTAGCAGCCATTGGCATGTACATTGAGCATTATTTTTTATTGTTCAACAACGCACAGAAGAAATCTCTCACCGGCACCACTTTCGAGGTCAAAGTTTTATACTTGTTACATACTACAATGGCTACGAAGGAAGAATGGGTGCCGCTATAAGAAGCTTCGCCCCTAAAAGCGATTCTAAATACGTGGAAAAGGTAGTGCACAATGCAATTTCTGTTTAATTTGAAGGTGTTTAGCTTCTTGCGAATACCACCACGTGAATTCAACACTTTGCTTGAGCTGCGGCACCCCGCCATCTCCACGTCATGCATTCCGTGGTGGCTATGCTGCCACAGACCCAGAGGAACGCACTCATTTGTATCTGGCGACAGGAGGCCAGTGCAATGATCAAAAACAAGAAAAAATTGAGCATTGCTGATTGGTTCCAGCAGCTTTGCGATTGCAGTCACGTGACTGAAAGATTGGTCAGGAAACGACTAGCCAAAGTAGTCACTTTGCGACCATTTGCGACTGTTCGCAACTGTTTGCGAGAGTCGCGAATAGGTGCACGACCGCTGCTAGGCGCTGGTGTGCACCAACCTTTACACTGTTGAGTGTGACCTCTGCCAACGCTTGAAATATGAAGTGAGGATGTTAAGACGTGCCATCGAGGAGCTCAAGCGCGAAAGCACCCGGCATGTGGAAACACAAGAACAAAATGTTGTGCAACATATGAGCGAAGCAAAGGTCCAGTTTCACACAGGTCAGAAACAGCGTTTTTGCTTTTATGAATGTGGAACAGATGTCATGCTTGGACAAGGTAATATGTACCACTCCTGCAAATACTGAGTGTGTTAGTGTATGTTTTCATCACAAACATTACTAGGGTCATGTTGCTTTTTCAGTTCTTCCAAAGGCTGTGTTTTTTACTATTTTATCAAGCAGTGTGTCTGCCTTGCCCACGGCCCGAAAGAAAGTCCCGCGTGATATACAGCTCCTTACACTCTTGATGAAGCTGCAGCTCAACGTTCCCTTCAAAGACCTGGCGTGCCGGTTTAGTTATGTGATATTATCCAGGACAGTAAGTCAGAGTTTTAGGACTGTACTTGACACCATGTCACATTTGTGTAAAACCTGGTAATGTTCCCAAGCCATAAAGTATGCTAGAGTGGACTGACTTAAAAAGAACTGAAGTATTTTCCTAGGCTTCGGGCAATTATTTACTGCACCAAGTTGCATGTGTTCAGGTATGTTCTGGATACTTTTTCCCGTACGACTGCTTTCCGTCGCATTCATTATTTAAACTACTTGAAGCTGAAAAACATTCTAAATACACTACGAACACAGAGAAAGAAGGCAACAATTGAGTTTCAGCTAGTTTTTCACGTTCAATAGGTATCTACTTGCCTAACTGTTGACATTGTTGCTTAAATTGCCTTTTTAGATCACTCATGTTGCTAAAATTGCCTTTTTAGGTCACTCAACCTGGATGAGCAACAGGTATGGAGCACATATAAAAAGAGTGCCACATTGAAATATCTAGTTGCCTTTAGTCCACACGGTTCTGTGTTTGTGTCAAAAACATGTGGACGCAGGATATCTGACAAAGCGCTGACATTATTAAGTGGTGAGTTCCACACGCTCCCTTTTTGTGTTGTAGAAGCATTCGCTACGTTTCCTCCACTAACCCGAGCACGAGAACCTTTATGCTGTTGTTACTATCTTTGAGTCATGAAATGCACGTCAAATCGCCCACACTGCTGGTTCATTTGTGTCAAAATGCAAATTTTGTGGCTGGCCTAGCACAACCTACGTTATGTATAAATAAATATGAAATGATGGTTTTTCAAGGATTTATTAGGCATCTTGAAAGTGAAGACCAAGTTCTGGCAGACCCTGGATTTTGGTTTTTCAACTATTTTAAGACAGAAATGTGCAGCTGATAACACCCAGTTTTTTTGAGGGCCGACTGCAACTATCAGGACAAGAGGACACAACATCAAGGAGGACTTCTTCATCCCGCATCATTGTTGAACGCACAATCGGCCACATAAAGAAATAGCGTAAAATGGTTCATACAATGCATAAAAAAGTTGTCGGCATCTATGATGAGATACCCTTTGTTGTTGCTTATTTGACAAACATATGTCCACCGTTATCTAAGAAGGGTGAGTACCATGTCAACTGTTGTTGTTATGTGGGGGAGGGAATGCCGACTAATTCATTGGCACCATCTTAATATGTCGTTTATTTTATAGTAGCATAAAGACATGAAAAGGAGCAAGCCGAGAAATTGGATATTTTGTTTACATGAAATATCTTTGCCATAGCCTATGAAACTGCTACTGCCTATGCAAGCTTACACACAAATGTAGGGAATGTGCAGCATAAACTTAGTAAGCAAGCCCCACATGCTGCAGGAGCTTAGCCCTCAAAAAAAGGGGATGTGCAGAGTAAATGCAGTGGCGAAATTTCACCTTAAAAAGAAACTTATCACATGAGAACATGAGACGTGCATTGTAAATCCACACAATTAGCCTTACATATCACAGTATTCAAACGAACAAGCAGAAGGGATGTGCAGGGTAAATGCAGTAGACTAGTTTCACCCTCAACAGTAACTTAGCACTCAATAACATGAAACGTGCAATGTGAACGCACTCGATGAGCCTCACCTATCACAGTATTTAGATGAACGAACAGAAGGTATGTGCAGGGTGAGTGCAGTAGACTAGTGTCACCCTCAACAGCAACTCAGCATACAAGAACAAGGGTTGTGCAAAATAAACGCACTCGATGAGCCTTATATATGATAATATTTAAATGAAGAAACGCAAGAGCTGCGCAGGGTGATTGCAGTAGACTAGTATTATCCTAAACAGCAACTTAGCATGTAGGAACAAGAGACATGCAATGTAAACGAACTCGATGAGCCCTACATTTCACAATAATTGAATGAACAAACGCATGACTTGTGCAGGGTGAATGTGGTAGACTACTGTCACCCTCGACAGCAGCTTAGCATGTGAGAGCATGGGACGTGCAATGTAAACACACTTGTTGAGCCTTAAATATCAGAGCATTTAAATGAACAAGTGCAACGGTTGTGCAGGGTAAATACCCTAGACTAGTGTCACTCACAACCAGAACATAGCATGTAATAACATCGGACGTGCAATGTAAATGTACGAGATGAGCTTTACATATATCATAGTAGTTAAGTGAAAAAGTGCGGTGGATGTGCTGGTTAAACACAGAACTCCTGTGTACTTAGATTTAGATGCACAAGAACCCCTCGTGGCCAAAAATCATCCGGAGTCCCATATTATGGCAATGCCTCATAATCATGCCTCGTTTAAGCATGTTAAACACCTGCCACTAACTGAAGTGAACAAGTCTCACAATGATTTTTAAAACATTGTTGTTCATGCATATTGTAAACCCTATTGGATTAGTAGTTCTACTTGTTCTCTGTGATAGTGCCCATTCCAATGCACTGTCTAGGCTGTGTTGCAGAGAATGATTCTTGGCATGACAATCTCTTATATGAGACTGTACACGCTCACAATGTTCACATGCATAAGATCTCACTCTCTCTCTCTCTCTATTATTACCAGGTGCCCATTGCTCTCAATTCGGACATAGAAATAGGACTTTCTTATGTTATGCAGGTTGAGAAGTAGCTAAGCCTGCACCTGGTCATAGTAAGAGCGACTCTCTTTCAAGCTTCCTGCAGAATCAAGACAGAAGTCTTTTTTTTCTGCTGGCCTTGTGGAATCTGGTTCACTGTGTTGCAGTCTGAGAGGCTGTACAAGCACTTGATTTCGCGTGTGCTGAATCATAGCGACCGCACCTGAAAATTCCGACTGGACTGCCACCAAGAAAAGGGCAGTTTAGATTATTCATTATTTCACGGTCTTCAATTATTGCATTAATATGCTGCTGCCACAAAAAATCAAGCAGCGTCTCTTTCACGACAGGTTCAATTGTAACGTCATACGGCACTGCGGACACATTATTAAAGCGTGGGCTGAAAATCTGATTTATTAATGTGCTACAGCAAACATTCTTTGAACGACAAACATCCTTGAATATAGAGGCTCTCACTCTTCCTTTTCGGTGCAAATAATAAAGCAAACTGTCTCGCTGACTTCTTGTGCCTAGCTCAATAGTCTTGGCATCACCCCTGTAATGGTAAGCTTTTCCATCACTGCTTGTGCTAATTCGCCAACATTTTCGCTCTGGAGTCACTGCTGGGACATTTGTAAAGCTATGTTCCTCCAGTGGCATTTCTTCCGCTGCTATTTCTCCTATTCGGCACGTGGTTAGCGTGAAAACTCGAGCACAGATAGGAACCTGTAATGAAGGTTGCCAAGGTTATGAACCTTGAACGGCGGAAGCTATGGCACATGCTCTCTGAAAGGCCAGCAATATCATGTACTCACCTCTCGCAGTTTCCGTATAACACTGTTGGAATCTGGCAAGTCACGTGACGCTGTGTCCTTCCTCTTTCAAGGCACTGTTGGCAGAACGCCACAAGTGTGGCGTTTGAATGACAATTCTTTACTTTTTTTTGCCTGAATCTGAAATATACCATTGATGCGCACTGTATGGTCGAGAAATTCACAACGTAAAACAGCAGAATGCATTGGGTTGTTTCTGCAGTTATCAGAGCTACATGCCGCATATTCTTTCATTTATAGCAAATTGCGACATTTTCTCGCCTTTTTCAGGCGAGGTTTCCCCCACTGACATAGAGAATTAGTTGGAGCAGCACCGTCAGAATCGACTTTCGTCCATAAATTAACGGCGACACACTGCCGCGCACTGCAGGATCGTCCCAACCTAGACATGTAATCCACGATGAACCATATTCCACCATTACACTTGCTACTAAAAAGGCTTCACCGTGGAATATTTTACAGCACAACGGATTAGAAACGGACAGAGAAGAAACATGGCGCTGTTTCCCTTCTGTGTCCGTTTCTGCCCATTGCGCTGTAAAATATTTTACTATGAGCATTCACCAACTGGCCCAACTCGCAATTTTGCTTTAAAAAGGCTTGTGCCACAATATGAAACGGAAGCTTGAGCATGAAAAAAGGTTTCAATGCTTTTCATGGGGTACACATAGCTGTATTAAGCCAAAGAATGCATAGCAGGTGCTTACTACTGCGTGATAATTACGAAATAACAAGGAGTAATATTTGACAGCAAGTGATTAGCATAACTTTCAGTCTTAGCAACAGGAATTATTAAATTACCATTCAGAAGTTAACAAAATCCATCTTGTGAGGCACTACTGCAAAAACCGTAAGGCACAGCATGTGCTACCACTCCGCCCTTTTCGTAAGCAGTATTTTGTCAAATTCCATATCTATTTTTTATTTAGTGAATTTCTCTTTGAAAATTGCTAATGACACTCTTTATGCATTGTCTGTTGTGAATATTTATCTGCCTCGGTTGGCTCCACATGTGTTTCTCACACAAAAAGGACCATTCATAGATTCTCTTTCCTTTTACAGTCCGGTATAGGTAACAATCGTTGACAAGATACATTACCCTGCCATGCATGTGCACCTGGCGACTTGCGTTTGGCCATCTCCGTTGTCGCTACACTCGTACAGAGGCCCTTGCATTTGCGAGGGGCTAAAATAGGCCTTTAAAACACGTAGTTTTGGTCTGGGCCTAGCTGTTTGTATTTTGTGAACTTTTCCTGAAAAACTGAATATTAGTCATTATACTGAATAGGCAAATAATAGGTCTAAGGCAACCGCCTCAGTAAAGCATGAAGTTCCACTAAAAGCATGCACTATGCTGCCACTTGCCTCAATTCAGGACTGTCAGCCCATCCCTCTCATGACCAGGAAGTTACGTAGAGCGGTGCTGTTTGATTACTGCAGCTGTGAAGCAAAGACGTTCTTTAGTCATATTTTGTAATGTCTCATTTGTGCATTCGAACGATTTACAACTCTACATGTACTGCTAAACCCATCTACATGAAAACAATTATAGTAATAATGCATTATTTTTTTATTCCATTAGAAAATGTGCACAAAGTAACCAAAGCAACATTCTCAAAAGTGACGCCAGCATGACTAATGTTTAGAGGCATTGCAAGTGAAAATAGCATTTTTGGGGACATGTGCTTCACAATATGCCCACATGCTTCGCTAAAAAAGACTAATTTGGGCAAGCTGTTTGTTGTAGCAACAGTAATAAATTTAGCTTACCGGACTTGAGATACTGATACGTATCTAAGACACGAAAAGCCTCAGAAGCATTGCCATCATGCCTTTCTTTTTCTGATAATACGAGGTTATCTAAGCAAAGTTATTCTCTGCCCACAGGTGCTCGCAGTTTTCATAATTTAAATTCCGCATTGCGTCTACGTTGAAGGCAACTGGACACCTGGAACAGCCAATAATTATCGTTAAGACTTGTTATATGCAACCATACGCAAGTAAACACACTTGCTTTGCATGCATTCAATCAGCTTTAACAAGATTAGGCATGGTCTTGTATACAGATCATAAATATGTTAGTGCAACAAAAGTTTTTGAATTGAAGTTTTGACGCATCTTACAAATGCAGTCATTATATTTTTGAAAACAACCCTTTCAGAATGCTTACCAAAACTGCTAAATTTTTTGATCACGTTGTTTTTCAATTGTGCAAACCTTCGTGTGTAGTTTGGAGCTACTCGGTAAGGGGAAACATAGCGTTGTCTTTTGATCATAACTCATGATTATGACTATAGGGTTGCTGTGAAGTTGTCATTAAAGCTAGTACTAACATTTATTGTACTCTGTACTAGTGGTACTCATTATGCAGTGAGTTGTTTCTTTGACGTGAGTTGTTTAGTGTGAGACAACTGTCATGCCACATTTTTTTCGATATATATAACAATAGAAGAGCACAATTTTAGATCAGTTTGTAAGGCTCGTTCAAAAAAAATATCAGCACAAAAATTAACAGGACTGTAAATGAAGCATACAAACGACAGTGATCCAACGAACCGGCAGCTAGTGAGCATCGTTAAGTCTGGAGAAAGCACAAGGAGTCAATATGTGCACAAATATTTTTAAAAACCTTAACACAGTTTAATTTAACTCTAAGCTCAAGCCCTAAACAATGTAGTGCTCTTCCTATTCTTTTCTTTTAAGGTCAAAAATATTTATCTGCTTTAGTGAGGCCATCCGAGCCCACACGAGTGCTCTAATTTATGACCTTTCAGTCAACGCAAGCTACTGCATAAAAAAATGATGCAAACAGAAAAAAAAAACTGGTGACCCTTACATTTGCCATGACCATGCCCTTTTGTTATCAGCGAGGTTACGACGATGGAGAGACTCCGGTGACATTCGTTGCAAAAGCTTTCGCAACAATAACAAGAGAAACAGCAGTCACATATCAAAAATTGACTTGTCACTAAAAAGCTACTTGACAGGTTAACGGACGTGTATTTACGCTTGATAAACTTCATATGACCGTCCAATATGATGCGATTGGGACATCACATTCGTGCCACCCAAACACGTGTTTTAAGAGCATCAACATAATACAAAGGATTGACAGCTCACACTTACCTTTCGGAACTGCTGTGTGGTCCTTGCTTCATGATTTTCCACCAAAGCTGCGCAATCAAATAAAGAAGTCAATCGTGCATGCGACGGCGATCACATGAAGAACGGACACAAAGTGATAGCCGTGCGGAGCCTCGAACCGGAAGAACTAGAAGACTGCATCGCATTTCACAATCCTTTGCGGCAACCAAGATTTCCCTATTCCCGTAATGCTTGGACGGTGTAAGAAAAGAAGAAAAAATTATTTTTTTAACACTCGGTTTTCACGCGCGAAACGTCGTTATGGATGCTACGCAACGCATTCGCATTTCCTCAAGATTTCATTCGGGGAGGTGAGGGTATAGTTTGCTACTGGTGCGATCTAACGCTTCTGCCACGGGAGATTACATATGCTAAGTTGACTCTGTGACCTTCATGTCGGGTTTTTTTTTTTCGAATGATTCTCACGCTAAGATATGCCTTCGTGCCAGGACACCCGTTTTCTACGCAGACTCCCTGGGTCCAATCGTCACTCGAACTGAGAATTCTTATTATTCATTGTATTTGCAACTTTTCTTAAGTTTTTCCTCACAGAAAGCGCATATTTCTCGCTCACAAACAACTATATTGGTGCCAACAATGAAATCTCTAAAAACTAGCTAATCAGTGATGTCACATTATTTTACGAATACAGATGCTACAAAATAATGCAAGGTGAATACTTCAGATGCATGTGTTTTATTGTCGCATTGTGATGCACTGAAAGTATCACATGAGTGTGCGAAAAAGCCGCCGCCACTTCGCCTTTGCGAGTTTTGTGACGAAATAGTTTAAATAGCCGCTTTCGTGTAATAAAAAGTGCCCGCTAATATAGCCACACAGTATATAGCCACACAAAAAGGTGAATGCATAAGGGGCTTTCCGATTTCTAATTCATTCAAAGGGTAATGATTCACTAGTTTATTTTAAAATTAACCCATATCAATGTGCTTTTTCCTGCACTATACACCTCTAACTCCAATCGGTGTCGTCTAAATAGGCCTAGAAAAACGCATAGGCCTAGAAAAACACAAGAGTCAAAATGAAAAAAACTGGCGTCGTGCTTGGACGCTCCGTTTCATACGAGCAGCTCCTAAATTTGTTAGAAGTTTATCGTCACTCCTCGTATGTACTCAGAGCAATGTAGAACGCTACAAACCATTTCAAGGTGGAATTTTCTAAATTTAGTAAACATTATTCTCTAAAATGACCAGCCACTATACGGACAGCCGGAACAGGACATCCAGTCACTCAATGTCCAACATACGGTCATTCTGAAGAGAGGATGTTGGAACTCAAACGAAATAAAACGAGCTTTATACCACAAGGTTCAACAACGCTCGCTTAGGCTGGGATATCTTGGGCATGTCATTTGGCATATTCCAGGGTGAATGCACAAAGGCGAATACAGAAGAGGCTTGACACACACGAGCGCTTCGATCCAGAATCATGAAATATCCCGGATGAAGGGGAGATAGATAACAATGAGCAGAAAGGCTCATGAAATCCGATGGCTATGATGACCCATAACAATGATGGGTCATGACTATTCATGCATCGAAACTTCTTTTGAATGTGTGAGTCCGGCTCAGCAAAAGTTTTGTGAGTCACAATCTTACTGAGTGAAAAGCGCAACGTATACACCTGGAATGACCCTAAACGAGTTTCACTTTTTTTGCTGACCTATCGTCTTACCGACTTATGTTCAGTATCCCTATTAGCCTTACCTGTATTGCGATTATACTGACTATACTCACACGGCTTCCGAAAACTGTCGCTCATCCTTTTTTTCAATATTCCTTAATCAGGGATGTGAAGGCAGGTAGGTAGGTAATCAACTTTATTGATTCACGAAGGAATCATTTGAGAGGGGGGGGGGGTAGGGGATGTGTAATCAGGATGACGATGAGCCCTCGGGCCGCTCTAGGCGGCCGGACACTGCTGTGCTTCGGTGACCCTTCTG